TACTGCAGCCTTCCTAAATCTAGGGATTAATTAAAAATTAATTAATTGATAGACTCCAAGCTGGGAAAAGCTACATTTGAGCATGGATTTTTGTGAGGGTAAAGGTTCATTCTCCAAGCTTGTGGGTTGGTTTCCGAACGTTTCATTACCAGGCTAGGTAACATCTTCAGCAGAGTTTAGAGGATGTTAGTGTCAGTATTCTCTTTATAAGGGCTTTAGGTGTGGGTGTATCAAGAGAGGGTCTTGTGATGGGTCAGGTGGGCATCATCAAAGAGAGGCTGGTGATGGGTCTTGTGATAGGGGGGTTACTTCAGGTCAGGATCAATGGGAGGTGAACTGCTGGTGGGAGGGGAAGGGGGCTTGCATGGGTTGGTTGAGGGTTGGCACTGTCTCTGATTGGCTGTGTGGTTGATTTGGATTCTAAGGGTTTCCTATGCTGGTTGTAGGTCAATGTGTCTGTTGATGGAATTGCTTGTAGAGTGCCAGACTTCAATGAGTGTGGCGGGTAGTAGCATGGCCAATTTTAGTGTTGCTCCAATTGAACTGGTGTTGTTTGGTGTTGGTGTGGTAGAGATTAAGGATTAGGGATCGTGGTGTTTTCGTGTCAGCTGGTGTTCATGGATCCTGTTTTTTAATCAACATGATGTTTGTCTCACATAGAATTGATTGCAACCATTACAGTTGATTTTGCAGATTGCATTGTTTCTTTCATCCTTCTATATCTTGTCTTTGGTTCTGGATAATTCTTGACGGAGTGTGGCTATGGGTTTTTGGACTATTGCTATTCTAGGGGTTGGAGAATTCTGGCTATTATTTCCGACACTCCTTTTCTGTTGGTAGGGTTAATTTTTTGCATGGTGGTTGGCTGGGTGGTGTGTTGTGGTTTGGGTGTTGTGTGTCGGAACACAAAGTTTTTTAGATAACCATTATGGAGAAAGACATCAAGCAGCCATTTCTCTTCTGCATTTCTTAGTGTTGTGGTGCTGCAGTATGTCTTGGTCTTTTGAAGAGGATCTGGACCCAGCTTCTTCTGTGTGTGGTGGGGTGATTGCTTGTGAAGCTGAGGATATGGCCTCTGTGAGTAGGTTTGTGGTAGATGCGGATTTCCAGTTCTCCAGCTTGAGGACTGAGTGGCTGGGAGTTGAGGCATTCCAACTAAGCTCACAGTTGTAACACAGAGACATAAAGTATGGATGAATATCATTTCATAATTACATTTGTAAATTACATTTAATTCTTTTTAAATATTAAGAACTTTCAGAATGACAAGTTTTGTGGTATTTACTGGATGGATTTCCTTCAATTCTTAGCAAAAGAAGTTTTAAGTATAAGTTTAAGGACTTGAAAATATATTTTGGGGTGAATATACAGCAAAAGAGTGATTACAGAGTTGATTAAAAAAATATAAAAGGATAGGGGTCCAGATAGATTTGAAGTAAGACTTTAAAATTAATTACAAGAATTCTTCCTGTGGGAAACATCTGTTGTTCTAATTTCTAATAATTTTTTTTTTAAAAAAATAAGACGGAACTTTGAAGGTTGGATACCAGAGGGAACCAGAAGGAACTAAAGAATACAATTAAAAGATAAGAACACATAATTCGACTTGCTAACATAGAATGGCACAAAATACTTTAACATTGGATGTATTGAAAGATATTTGTGAACAATATCTTTACAAGTTAGTTTTAAGAAGATCTGCCATTATAGATAGATTCTGTTTAAATGAAGTTATAGAAAACAAACAAGTTCTACCAGACAAGACTGAAATTGATTTAAATGTAGATATAAAAATGAGAAGCTATATGAATTATATGGAAGAAGATGATAAACTGGACATACAGATGAAACCAGTTAATCTCTTAGTAATTAAAGGGACATACAAGTAACAGACCAGAAGAATTACTTGGATAAATTGCTCTACTGGATTTACAATACAGGCTTGCTAATGTTTGGAAGAATTTTGTGAGAAGGAATGAAGGAAGAAAAGAAAAATCAAGTTATTTGAAAAGATTAAAGACTAAGATTGTTAAAAGGGAAGGGAAGGAATATAAGGTCTGTTTATTTGATCAATGTTAAAATATATTTGTCTTTATCTTTTGTATAATCTTTAATGGACTTTTGCTGCCAGGACTCTGGCTTTAAAACCTGTTTATAGATGAGATGTGGAGGAAGAGATCACTTGTTGTATAGTATTTTAAGAGGTGATAAGTTACTAAAATTGTTTAAACTTGTGATGAAGGGGGGAGGCCTAAAGTAATTTTTTCTTATCAAATTGCTTTAAATTTCCAGCGCAACCCCAAAATGGGAAATTCTATCTCAAACAAACATAACGCTAATTAGACAGCTAATTTAGTGATTATATGAGTGAAAAACCAAAAGAAGAATTCCAGTTAGGACAATTTTTATTAGGTCAATTAGAAGATCACAAATTATGTAAACTGTCAAGTTCTTTGGATCTTTGCATTAGGCAAGTTGTTGCAGAAAGCAAATTTGACGATAAGGGTAGGGTGGTAGATACTGTAGTCATGAAGCAAATATAATTATAAGTGAGAAGTATAAGGTATATAAAGGTTATAAAACTATCCCTTTGGATAGTGAGATGGGTGGCATATAAAATAATTAAATAGAATATCTTTCAAAAATGAGCATGGGCATACACATTAGACACTGTCTACTACTGCAGTGGTGAAGTTACATCCAGGTCTGCAGCTGGGATGAAGAAGAATGGAAATAATGATTGTGTATTCCATGAGAGTAGAGTAAGTGGAGATATACAGGCACTTAAGTAATTCAACAACAAGAAAAGCATTGATGTGATAGAAAAGTAAAACAGGGGAATGAGAATAAAATTTGCATTGCAAGAGTGAGGAAATCCACGTATACATAATATATCATTTTTTTTCCAGATGGAATAAATAATGCCTTGTTAGAAAAGCAATTTGCATTCTAGAAACTTTGAAGTTAGAAACTTCCAAATATCTCAGCCAGAGGTAGGATGGTGAAACGACACTAACCTACAGTTATAAGTGAGCTCTCCAAATCTCTTAGGGATATGGTTCACTTGACACGAGGAGGAAGGAATATTATATTCACCATCTTGAGTTACTTATAAAGTAATAAAGACGGAATATTTTTTTAAAAAATAAATATAATAACTAGAAAGCTCTTTTCCCTTCTTTCTCTTTTGTTGTGCATATTCATGCCTATCTCTTTCTCTCCCTTCAAGCAAGATATATCAAATATCTTGACATTTTTCTGGATCAAGTGCTTTTGACTGTCTGAAACTGTATTAGAAGTGTACATAAATGTAATTGCAAAGAGGGGAGCACTTGTTGGTAAACCATGAAATCTTTCTCCTGAATTTCAGTCAATATTGTAGTCAAGACAACCTGGCTGGTCTGGCATTACAAACTAAGAGGGAATGAAGGATGGAATATAAAAATGTCTAGGTGAATTCTTGTTCATGTTCAGCTTCCACTATACCACCAATTTTTGTACTTTGGACAATGTCTTGGACTTTATCGTAAAACTGAGAACTCACTCAATTTAGAGATCATATCTGTCAGCCTAACAAGTTAGTTGACCATATAGAAGAGGACCATGATATTCCCAAATATGAGAGCATCATCTAGTCTTCATAAATAACCTTGCTCTTTTTATATGAATGCAGCTGAAAATCTATATGTATTTATTTGGGAATAAATAAATAGTCAAGGATTCTGATACTGGACAGGGAATTGATTTCCAAGGTCCCTACCATTCCATGACTCATTAATTAAGAGGTAGCTATGAAAATGTTTGAACAGTTTTGTTTTTCTTTTACGGTGTGGGATACAGCATGCAAGAATGTTTTCTTCTCTAGACCTTGATAATGCAGTTTTCTTTGCCTGAAATGGAATTAAATGGGAGGGGGTTACTAAGACTAGCAGTACAAAAGTACTGCAGGTTTTATGAAGATGCTGAGGTAAAATAAATCTGCTTCCAACGTCGACTGCAGAACGCTGAAGAGTTCAGTTAAGGTCATAGAAAAAGGAATCTTCACATACAATACTTGTTAAATTGTAGGAAGAAGAAAATGGATTCTTCAATTTCAAACTAAGCAAATTCTAAAACTACATTGACCCCTGAAATGAGAAATCTTCTGTTCAACAAGTATCAATTAAAAAAACCCCCACCTCATACACTTTACTTGGATCCAGAAAGAGGCTTGGCTAGTCTGCTAACATGGCTTTTGTGATTTTATTAATCCAAGTACTGGGGGGGAAGTGTTTTGAGTGCAACTCATGACTCTTTCCATAGCTCTTGGAGGCTTGTATAAATATATATACAGGAATTTCCATCTCGGAACTGGAAAATTACAGAAGCATCCGCGACAGAAGTAACGGGCACACAAAACGGGCCCCAATGCCGACTCTTTTTTTTAAATGTGGGAAATTGTTCAATGATTAAGAGAGCGACCCCTGGCGGCCAGTCGCAACTCTTCGAGTACAGTACAGTAATTGAGCGGGCTTGTGACAGCGACTAGCCGCAAATCTTCCAGCGGCATTTATAGCATATCGGCGCCTTTAAGTGGGAGAATCCCGTCAGTTTGGCCATCTGGAAACATCAAAGTTATCCGCTGGTTGGACGGCGAGCGGTGGTCGCGGCATCAGCTCACGCCCGAGGTCCTTTGCTACTGAATTACCTGGGGCCAAATTGATCCGCTGCGCGCCTTCTCGTGCCAAATTCCTTGTGCAAGGAAGAAAAAAAAAAAACTGCAGAGGAGAGGCCCGGAGGGAGTTTCCCCCTCCCGTTTTATCCAATTAAGGCAGAGCAGAAATGGGCTGTGCGCTGACCCTGGCGAAGGGGCGCGGAAGGGGCTGGCAACTGCTCCTGCTGCAGATCTGGCTCCCTAAGAGGAGCTCCCTTCAGCTTCTGCCGCCTAAACCACTTCTTTGCTGCTTGGCAGTTTGAAGGGAGCCGGAGCAGGTAAACAAAAGCCAGACTTGTGCTCTGATCAAAGCAAACCAGGGGGCCAAAAAAAAAAAAAAAAAGGAGGACATTAGACCGCCGGAGGGAAGGCTGGAGAACACGAATGGTTTCTTTATAGCAGCTTCTGCAGACCGACTCGGCTCTGCTAGAGAGGAGAAAGTGAGAGCTTGCCTCCCTCGCTCGCTTCTCCAGCCTTTCGGGACCGACGCGGCAACTGCGAAGCGCGCTTCCTTCTCTTCCGCCCCTCATCTCCACCTCCGCCGCCGCACCATCGGAGAAGGGGAAGCGGGGGTAGCCGGGACTGGCGCTGCAGGGAGAGAAAGCCGAAGGCGCGCGTCCGGGGCAGGTCGAGCGAGAAACCCCGCTCGCCCTCCCTCGCTTTGGGCGCGCGTGCGCGTGCGGAGAGGGGGTTGGCGGGCGCGACAGCTCAGCCCCGCGTAAAGGATGGTTCGCTCGCCGCCGCCGCCGCTCGCTGGGACAGAGGGAGCTTGAGAGGGCAGGCGGAAAGGAGATGCAGCAATATCGCCGGCTGGGAATCTCTTGAGATGAGGCGGGCACCCGCCGCCGCCGCGTCTGAAACAGCTCCGGCTTTTTGAAGGTAGTTTATTTAAATAGGAAAGCAAGGCGTGATGGGGCGCAGCCCAAGTCCCCCTTGCCTAGGACGCGGGGGTGGTGGTGATGGTGGCGGCGGCGGCGGCGGGTGGCATCGGATCCGCTCTGCCTGGCTACCTGGAGTGCGCGCGGGGTGGCTTTTTTCTCGCTGGGTCTTAAGCTGAATTTCTAGGGAAGCGGGGGGAGGGAGGGAGCGATGTGATTTCCACATGTGCATCCCACACCTTGGATCGGTTACCGGACGTTAAGAGTACACCGCGGGAATGTACTTTCCCGCTGTGAAAACGCCGTTTCGGGATAGCCCAAAACAGTGACTCGAGTCTTAGCAGACCTTTCTGTGGCCTCAGCTTTGCTAGTTCAGAGCCCCCCTCGCCGGGTTCCCGATTGCCAAGGGAGAAGGTATCGTGTGTTAACCTTAAGGGATCTGCCCAATATAACGGGCTAATATAGCAAGATCTTTGGAAATGAGCACGATGCAGGCTATTTGTCCCTAGAAAATCTGAAACTACTCTTTTGCACCGGCATTCCACTAAAGAATAGAAAATAAGAGAATCTCCCCCCCCCCCGCCGCCACCCTTGCTTGAACCATGCTTTCAGCGTGATAGTGGGGCATGCAGTGAACTATAGGTAACTGTAGTTATGGCTCAGGGAAATGTGATGGTCTATATGTTGTGCTCCAAGGATTCATTTCTTGGTATCAGAGTTGTAAGAAGTGGCTCTAAGTACATCAGTGCACGGGGAAGACATAAGAATTATTGTCTGTCTTAGAACTCTGCCTTTGTTCTCCCAGTGCTGTGGAATGGTTCTGATTCCCAGTAGAAGTTTTTGGTTGGCCTTGTGATATAGAAGAAAAGAGTGGCACAGTGTTGGGTGGGGGGATATTGAAATATATGGGTTTCTTCTCCAGCCTGCAAGGGTGGTAAAAGTTCTAGCTTTGTCCAGAGCTAGAATAGAAGGTCTTGAGGATGTTGCTTTCATTGAGGCTCTATAATACTACTTCTGATTTCCAGAGATAATTAGACCAACAACTGGAGTCAGAATTCCAAACTCCAATTTCTTATCCTCTATTTAAGGTTCTTTATCTGCTGACTTGGGGATTTCCCCATGTTAATTTCCAAATTGTCCTAAGAGTTTTCCCAGTTTAATTTGGAAGAAACAGAAGGAAGAAAAATCTACACTTTTCAACAACCCTTTGGTAGAAACAAGCTTTTGTATGGATGAGATACACCCTTATTTTTTTGGATCTGGAAAAGCATTAAAGATTTCACTGGATCGGCAGCATCTCTGTGCTCCTAAATGATAGGACACACTCAAAGGAAAGATTTTTAGTCCAGATGATTTAATTTATATGGAGCAACAAGTAAAGTTGTTGTTTCAGTTGAAATGGACAATTTTTTTTAAAGAACTAGTGTCTGTTATATGGCATTGGATTAACCTAAACAATATCTGCTATTTAGAAGAGAGCCTGACCCTTCCCCAGAGAGTGAGGCCATGTCACTGATTAAGATTGTGCCATCTGTAATCTCTCCCCATCTAAAAGCTGGGTTTCATCTTGCAAAGAGAGGATTTAGAGAAGACCTGAAACTGAGCAGGCTTCAAGAGAATGAAAATGCTCTTATTCATTTCTTTCCCCTCTAGCACAGCATGTTTTCAGACTTTGCTGGATAGTTCTAGCTACAGAAAGAAAAGAAAAAATATTTTGACAGTGGGGGTATTTCCCTACAAATGTACACTTTCTAATCTATTTCCATTCATAATAGCAGTTCTACTTTAATCTATTATGTGCAGATCAAAATGTTCATGATGCTCTTGTAAAGTAATTCTATAAAGTAAGGACCAAAATGCAATATAGACATATGTTGATTGTTACAATGACTCCTGAAAAGATTGTTAGGGCAACGACTGATTTTAAAAACTCTAGAGTTTTTAATGGACTATTTTTTTTAATAAACTTTGGAGTAGTGTAAAAATATCTTATTCATAGCTGAGATAAAACAAATTCCACAGTTCTGTTTAGTTTTCAAGATTTTGTTCCATGAACACAAATGCCAAGATGTCCTGAGGGGGAGGTGGAATAAATATGATTTCTTATTGATATTTTATTTTGGATTTTAAAGGTTGCTAGACAGTGAAATCACTTTAAAGGTGAAAGGGCAGAAACATTGGAAAAATACAGGCTTTTACTTGAAGTCATACTAACCCAGGCAGATGCCAAGTACATATTTCTGGGAAGAACATTCCACAACCTGAAGAGGAACGTTTCTTCTTGAGAACTGCTCTGCCATGTTCAGCAGGGATAGTCAGAAAAAGTCCTCTGAAGATCTCAAAATCCAGGTAGGAAGGTATGACAAGGCACAGCCTGTTCCTCTTTCCAAACTAGGACCAAATAAAAAGAGCTAGTTGGATTAAACCTGCAAATATGATGGAGCCAATGATAAGTACTGATGCGATAGGTTCATTTTTCCCCATCCAACTGGTAAATCTGCCACCATGTTTTGAATATTCTGCCTGTTTTTGTTTTCACTATATAAGAAATCCCATGTTCAATGCATTGCTGTAGTTTATGTGTAAATGAAAGCATATTTGTTAGGTACCTCTGACAGGTAAAAAGGTTAGAAAGTGTATTCATCTTTAATGCTCAGGCTGTGAAACAACCTTTTTCTCAATATTCTAGAACAGTGGTTCTCAACCTGTGGGTCGGGACCCCATTTGGGGTCGAATGACCATTTCATGGGGGTCGCCAAACAAAGCTGTCCGCCATTTCCCCCCCTTTTCTTTGGCCACGCCCCTGGTACCCAGTGATGTATAAGTGGTTGGGGGTCATCACAACATGGGGAACTGTATTATGGGGTCGTGGCATTAGAAAGGTTGAGAACCACTGTTCTAGAAAGAAGATCCTTAATTCAAAGCAGCCTATTGACCACAATTGAAAATAATTGTGAGACCTTTTGAACAAGCACTTAACTGAATGCTGTGTTGTGTTGTCAAGGGTAAATTGAGGAAAAATCAGAAGCTGTAGAAGACAGACTGAGAATGAGAAAAAGATGGTAAAGGTTGATGGTTAAGTTAATAGATTTATTTATATTCTTAAGGCCTGTAGAACTGTGAATAAAAGTCTCTCCCATGGAGGAATTGCTAGCTTTTAGTACAGCAGTGATTTCATTACTATAAATCAAAGAAGGTCCCTGTGGCCCTTCGGATGTTGTTGAATTGCAGTTTCAAGCAGCCCCAAATAGCATGGCCAATGATGAGGGATTCTTGGAGGTATACAGTAAATGCTTGTTTTAAATGCAGTCTACCTACTACAAAAGATTTAGTATTGGGTGCATTCCAAGTGTTGCACATCCTGAACAAAATTTCCTATGTTTAGAGGTCTACTAGCCCTACTAACAGAATAAAAAGTTGGAAGGGACCTTGGAAGTCTTTTAGTCCAACCCCTTGCTGAAGCAGGAAGCTCTATACTATTTCATACAAATGGCTGTCCAATCTCTTCTATCCAGTGTTGGAGCACCCACAACTTCTGGAGACAAGCCGTTCCACTGATTAATTGTTCTAACTGTCAGGAAACTTTTCCTTAGTTCTAGGTTGCTTCTCTCCTTGATTAGTTTCCATCCGTTGCTTCCTGTCCTACCTTCAGGCGCTTTGGAGAATAGCTTGACTTCCTCTTCTTTGTGGCAGCCCCTGAGATATTGGAACATAGCTATAATGTCCCCCCTCGTCCTTCTCTTCATTAAACTAGACATACTAGATGTTACAAAGCATGCAAAAGTTCTCCCTCATAATAAAATGGGTTATACTTGCAGAAGGCAATTGCGAAAGTGAGAGTTAATATGTTCCTCACCTGTAATTTTGTCATTCTGATGGTTTTTTTTTTCTTTGCCATTATATAACTTTTCCTCACAGCCAACCTGGCTTTTGTCTCTAGAACTCAACTCAGGAAGGGGGAAAAAAAAAAGCCCCAGGCAAGGAAAGATGGGGTGAATAAAAGGAGAGAAGTTGCTGTCCTTGCAGATTTGTCTGTGACTTCTGTACATTTACGTATGTAAGATGCACACTTACCAAAAATGATTTTTAAACAAATTATCTTAGTTTGGGTCATAATTTTTTGAGGAAAATTAGCAACTAAATTAAAAAAATTGTCTGTATTAGATAGTAAAATGCAAAACTGAGACCTTACTTGGTAAAATATTGAAAATATTTCTTCTATTCACTGATCGCAAACTTGCATGATCATTTATTGAAATTTAAAATGACACTTTTCAAAGATGTACACTTTGATTATCTTTACACTTTATATGATTGTTTTTAAAAGCTACATTTTAGACAGTGAAGATGAATGTGTTTTAAGTTGAGCTAACTCCTTTGCTTCAGATTTCAAATGAAGATAGTTCCTTTCTTTGATTCATCATCGCTAACTTTCTTCTACTAAAAATGTCCATGAAATATAATAATTAAATTGTTCTGAGCTTAGAACAAAACCAAATCTTTAAAATATTTCATTGGAAAATGCTGAAGTCTCTTATCCTGATGTAATAAACCTTGAAACATCTCCAGTGTTCTATGTGAAATTAAACTAAAATATTTTGAATCTTAGGGAATAAAGAAAACTTGAATTAAATCCTTTGTTTTTCATAATGGGATCATAAAGTGGTTGAAGTAGTATTTTTTGCTAATTCTATCTTACCAAACCTTGACCAATAAGATAATTTTTTAAAAACTCTCCTTGTTGTGAGATGGGCGGCAAATACATTTAATAAATAAATAAAAATAAATAAAACCATGAAATGTTTAAAATTTGCATTACAAGCAATTGAAGCAATAGATATTTGCAACCTAACATGCTGAATAAACAACCACAGAAATGAGCCCTATGAAGAAACAAACATTAGCAATAGGTTCCCCTCAATTCAATCCAGCCTGTGAATACAACAAAAATGAAATTATCTGTCTCAACAAACAAACAAAAATGCACAATTGCTTTTAGTC